ACATATGTTGGCGCGTGCTCTGCACCCAAGCTTTGACCATTTTTTTGTTTGCGTAATCATAATCGCTGTTTAGGTTTCAAGAACTTGATCTCAGCCAGCAGGCATTTATATTCGAAAATAGCCCTCGAGAAGAAGAATGGTATTCAGTGGTGAAGAAAAATCTCCATTTTGGCAAAACCTATGTAGAAGTAAGATTTTTAAAATGCCATGATTCCGTTTGCGGTTTATCGTTCTGCCATTTCAGGTTTTGCTCATCTTTAAGTAGTAGTAAATGTTGTTCCTTTAGATTGCCTGCTTTAGTTTTAGATACAGTTCTTAAAAGTTAGAATGAATTCTGTTTGAATAGTACCACAAAAAATCGGTTTTCAGTATTAAATATAAAGATAGGTGGTCCACAGTTCTGTATTCACTTTTCTGATTGATAGCCTCAAGTGGCTTGTATATTTATGAGAGGACATAACAGTTTTAAATTCGAGTATAGGTATTAGCGTTGCGTTTATTGATATGTGTCAGCGTATGACTCCATAGTTCAATTGTTCTTAAAAGATATGATTAAACGAATTTATAATTGCGAAGCAAATATTAACGAACTTATTTAATATGAAAATAAATGCGTAATCACTGCATTTCCAACAGGGCAAAGCGGGCATGCAGCAGAAGGCAAGTAGTCATATCTGTCGAAAGAAGCCTTAAAAACCGCATAAAAGTAAAACTACACATTCAAAGTAAAATCACTGTGATCTTTCAAGTAACGGAAATCCTATGTATAAATTTTTCAGCTGACAGTCTGTAATGCATCACTTGTGCTCTCCGTTTATTTTTTGTTTCAGTTAAAGCGGGTGCGGCTTGTTGGCATGTTCCTCGTCGTTTTTGTCTCGTCGGATATTATCGATCAGATTGCTATCAATGAAGTCGATAGTGCATTTGTTGGAACCGGTCTGTTGAACCGAATGGTAGGCATTTAAAAAACCAATTGCTTTATGAAGTATAATTAAATTAATTTGATATCACCATTGAGAGTAGCCATAAGCTGGTGTTAAGTGATGATTGTCAGTTCCAAAGGCTACAGTTCGTGTCGCAACGGCGGTATGTCCTCCCCCTCCAACGCGTAGTTGATTTTTAAATGCCGTGTAGAGTCTTAACCGCCAGACATAGAAGCTGCGAACTGTGTAGTAGCAGGAAATGGCGCATTTTAACTAGATTTTGGAAACAGTACCTAATGATACTTCTCAAGTTTGTGCATTTTTTCGTCGTCCCCGTGAACAGGGGATAATATTTGTCATTTTTCATTTTTCCCTAGAAGTGTTGCATTACGTCACGTGATTTGTGTCATACTGGAACAGTTTCTTCGTTAGGTCTGGGTAATGCAGTAGCAAAATATACAAATGCAGTCTTGTACCCTGAATCTTTACTTTTGGCACTGAATCGTCTCCACAGCATAGACTGAAGGTCAAATTTCCTTTTAAAATATTACTCAATTTTAACACCATGCGCCTGCAAAATTTTGGAAATGATATCAACAGTAAATAATATTCATATATAGGTGAAAGGCTAAAAATACTTCAGTAATGCTAGGGCTGTCCGTCACATCATTCTAATTTTTCAAGTTCTAAGTAAAAACTAGTTTTTTGACATATCACGAAGCTCATTTATTTTCAGGGCAATAAGGGAGGTGTGGCAGTTCGATTTCGGTTAAATGACAGCACGTTTTGTTTCATAAACAGCCACT